AGGACACTATATATACACGTAATACACGTAAAGGTATACACACTCATCTGAGTTTTTTTTTATTTTCTTAATAGTTCTTGTTCTTATTACTTCCTTTCATCTCCGTGGGGAAGTGGAATAAGAATCTTTCATCCGTGGGTTATGAGTGTTGTAAAAGCCGACTAATATGCCTGGAGCAATGGGCTAGTAACCCTTCTCCTGTATAGGTTACTAAAAATAGAAGAAAATCTTTCAGCTGGGATGTTTGAATGTGCGTGGATGTGGTGAGGATGACAAGAAATGATTGTGGATGTTATCAATGAGAAGGACATGAATGTGCTGGCTGTACGTGAAGGGGGTAGGAGAGCTTCAGTGGGGAGAAATAAATGGGCTTAGGCCAGGGGGTTCTGTTAGCGTTAGAGCCAAGGAAGGAGTTAGCAATAATGTTGAAGGATCAGTTATGGTAGGAAAAGAAGGAATATAAATGCATAAATTCAAGGATTATGTGGAGTAAAATAAGGGTCAGATATGAAAAGTGGGTTATAGTAATGTTTAGTGTTTATGCACTTGGAGAAGAGAGAAAGAAGTATAGAGGAGAGAGAGAGAGATTTCGGGAGATGTTGAGAGAGTGTTTGGGAGTTCTGAACCAAGTACTCACCTAATTGTGGTTGCAGGGATCGAGACTCAGCTCCTGGCCCCGCCTCTTCACTGATTGCTGCTAGGTCCTCTCTCTCTCTCTCTCTCTCTGCTCCCTGAGCTTTGTCGTCTCAGTAGTAGTACCAGTTCCTAGTAACCAGTTACCAGTAACCAGTGTACCAGTAGATGACTCACTACCAACCGTCTCTGCGTGAATCACTGTCTGTATTCATATTGCTGCTGACCACAGCAGTATTTCAAACACCCCCTCACATATGGGTACTGGGGTTAGTCAGTCTTACGAGTGAGAGCAAGGAGGCAGGTCACGGCTGTTTGGCGCTTCCCACACTATCCGTAATATACGTACTACCAGCCTATGTGAGTATTTCTTTACCCTATCCACGTGTTCGAACCCCACATGATAGTCGTACCTCGTCTTAAAACTATGTATGGTTTCTGCTTTCACTACGTTACTTGTTAGATTATTCTACTTCCTGACAACTCTATGACTGAATAAATACTTCCTAACATCCCTTTAATACGTCTGAGTCTTCAGCTTCCAACTGTGACCCCTTGTTTTTGTGTCCTCTCTCTGGAACATCCTGTCTCTGTCCATCTTATTTATTCCACGTATTATTTTGTATGTCGTTATCATGTCTCCCCTGACCCTCTTGTCCTCCAGTGTCGTCAGGCCGATTTCCGTCAACCTTTCTTCGTAGGGCATTTCCCCTGAGCTCCAGAACTAACCTTGTTGTAAATCTTTGCACTTTCTCTAATTTCTTGACATGCTTGACAAGGCGTGGGTTCCAAACTGGTGCTGCATACTCCAGTATGGGCCTGACATACACGGTGTACAGTGTCTTGAACGATTCCTTATTAAGGTATCGGAACGCTATTCCGATACCTTAGTTAGGAGACCTAAATGTCAAAGTTGGAGAAACTGTTGTGGAGGGAGTACTAGGTAAGTTTGGGGTGCCTGGAGAAAATAGTAATGGAGGGCACGGACCACGAAGGATCAGGCATGACCACGAAAGTTCGAGTCCTAGCCAAGCCGGAGTTCTGTTAATGATATATATATATATATATATATATATATATATATATATATATATATATATATATATATATATTATATATATGCATGTATGTATGTCGTGCCGAATTTGTCGAACAGGACGTTTTCAAAAAAATTCTAAAAAAAATGTGTGTTTGTGTGCATGAATGTGGATATATCCCGACGGAAGATGAATCACGTAATAAGCCTATCGAGATCAACCATCCAGTCACTATCCAACCTAAACGCTACTTAACCTAAGATAACAGAGAGACGGTGATCGGAAAGATGCAGGAAGGAGGGAGATTTGATCACTTAAGAAAGTCCGCCTCATATGTGGGTCGTTAGTTTCACCTGGGTGAGAGTCGGGGCACCGAGAGAGAAAGCGAGTAAGAGAGTGAAGAAAACAGCAAGGGAGAGAGTGATATGGAGAAATGTCGAATATGGAAGAGAAAGCAGAAAGCGAGAGAGAGAGGGAGATATCAGGGATGGAGAGGAAAGGAAGGTAGGAGGAAAGAGAGAGCAATGAAGAAAAAATAGAGAGCAACAGAGGGAGAACGAGACAAGGAAGAGAGAGCAAGAGGGAGCAGCTGAAGAGAGAGAGAGAGAGAGAGAGAGAGAGAGAGAGAGAGAGAGAAGAGAGAGAGATGATGAGAGAAGAGATGAGAGAGAGAGAAATGAAAGCGAGAGAGGAAGGAACTTTGTGCCAGCATAATGATATGAATGAAATAAAGTCAGATGATCAAATGAAACACTGCTGCCACAAATGGCTCCAACTTCCATATTGTGTGTAACATAATAAAGACTTTAACGACCTGATGAGCGTAACAGCTCTTAGCTTGTAAATAAGTTAGAAATCCTTAACCTAACCTTGTAAAACCGTGTAAATAGAGAGCGAGAGAGAGAGTAGATAGATGTAGATAGATAGATAGATAGAAGAGAGAGAGAGAGAGAGAGAGAGAGAGAGAGAGAGAGAGAGAGAGCGAATGTCTAATAAAACTGCCAGTGATGGAGAAAGAAGATAAAGATATTTACATCAACACAGAACTGACCCAGCAAATCATTTTTTTGGCCTAAAGAGCAGGGAGATTTCCCATTTCTTCGAAATTTATAACTAATACCGAGATAAGACATGTATTTGGCTAGGAATGTATTTAATGGAGATCAGAATATTATTTTTTTCATGTTACCCACATCAGTCCACTAACACCCAGGCACCTATTTACTGCTGGATGAAGAGGGTCTGCAGATGTAAGGAGACTCACAGCCCCGTACCTATTTACTGCTGAATGAAAAGGGTCTGCAGGTGTAAGGAGACTCAAAGCCCCGTGCCTATTTACTGCTGGATGAAGAGAGGCAGTAGGTGTAATTTATCTCTATGCAACTTAGTATCCTGGAATCGAACCCGGGTCATTTCTGTTGCGAGTCAAACTCTGACCATCGAGCTAGGGGTCACTCCGGGGGAGGGTGTGAAGGGGGGGAGAGTTGACCATGTTGACCGGGCAGCTAAGGGAAATTCCTCCTCTTTCTTCTCTTCTTACTCTTTCTCTTCTTCTTCTCTCCTCCTCCTTGATCGGGGTGAGGGTGATTTTTGGGGGTGGAAGTGGTGATGATAGGGTAGGTTGTGAGGGGGGTGATGGGTGATGTAGTGGTTACCATGCTGGTGGTTGTGGTGGTGGTAGTAATGGGTGCCGTGGAAATGGTGGTGGAGCTGTAGTAGTTGTGGTAGTGGTGGGGTAGTAGTTGTGGTGGTGGTAGTGGGGTTGTAGTAGTTGTGGTGGTGGTAGTGGGGTTGTAGTGAGTTGTGGTTGGTGGTGGTGGGGTTGTAGTAGTTGTGGTGGTGGTGGTTTTTCCATACAACTTTCTCCTCCTCTCAGCATATATAAACAAAACGAAAAAAAAAAATAAAATAAAACACACACTAACGAGGGTCTGGTGTCGTCTTCAGCAGACACTGCCAACATCACCACCAACTCTTCCACCAAAAGAAAGTATTAAAGACCACTTTCCAACGTCAACACAGGAAGCCTCAACAACATGACACGTCACAGCTAACATGCAAATTTTCAAGAGGAAACCGGTAAAATGTCAGAACTGCCAGGCTATGTGTCTACGTAGGTATGCTGGCCGCAAGCAGCAACAGTCTAGTTGGTCAGGCAGTCAACTAGGAGGCCCGGCTCACGCCAGGTACATCACAGATATCCTGGATTATGAGAACTTTTAAAATATGAGATCAGGCTCTGATCCACCAGGAGGCCTGGTCACAGACCGGGCAGCGGGGGCGTTGACCCCCGGAACTCTCTCCAGGTAAACTCCAGGTGATGGTGATCTTCAATGTTGCAATGGCTACCTAATCTGACTACGGGCCGAGGGCAGCAATAGTCTGACTGAACAGGCAGTCACCAGGGAAGTCTGGTCCCAAGCAGGGCTGCGATAGTAGGGAAAAAATGGAAACAGGTCACAAGTATGAATAAGGGGGTGACTGTTGTGACTGGTTACCAGTAGGTTACCTGTAATTGCTTCCTGGGGTCAACGCCCTGTGGCCCGGTCCCGGACCAGGTCTCCTGGGTTGGCCTGATCGATTAGACTTAATGGTGCCCGCAGTCCAACCTGCCTGGTTGATCATTAACTAACTGGAGAGACTTATCAAGTTCTCTCTTGAAGACAGCTAGGAGTTTGCTGGTAATTTCCCTTAAGCGCAGTGGAAGGACGCTACTGAGTTTTCTTTCAGTATACGCATTGCACCCCTGATTTTCAAGAAGGTATCTCGGAACTTCTGACAATCATCTTACTTTCCTATGGGGTATTTTGGGTTGAAGATTTGTAACCAATCCTTCCATAATCTTGCAGGTGTAGATTATAATATATCTTCCTCGCCTACATTCTAAGAAGTACATGGTGAGAAACTTCAAGCACTCCCATTAATTTAGGTATTTGAGTTAGGGAACACGGGCTGTGAAGTTTCTCTGTACATTCTCCAGTTCTGCAATTTCGCCTGCGTTGAAGGTGGCAGTTAGTATACAGCAACATTCCAGCATAGAGAGGAGAGTAACCTGCACGAGTAGTATCATTGGCTTGACTTCTCTATTTTTGAAAGTTCTCTATATCCAACCTATACAGAGGTTGATGGTTATGGTAGTGGTGGGAGGCGCTTGGAGAAGATTTATCTATAACAGGAGCAAATATCTGTTTACCCTAGGGAGGAGGGACTAACAAATTCTCAGTGTGTTGCACTTCCAGTAAGGTTCCTCAATACCGTGCAACTACGACAGCTGACTAACATTTGGAGAGGAGAGAGAGGAGAGGAGAGAAGAAAAAAGAGAGAGGAGAGAGAGAGAGAGAGAGTAACACTGCTACTTTCCCCTACAGTTGTTCAGGAGGCTTCAGCGTGCGAAGAGCGGTGGTACCCACACAAGATGAAGCAGTCCCCCGTATCCTCCGCTTTCAGGTATGTTGATGACCCGTTTTTTGTGTGGTGAGATGCCGTGAGCCGCAGACACCCAGATCTGGCTATCTCCGGTGTACACAGCATCCGTGCCCAAAGTACAATCAAAGTCAATTCGTATTCCCAAGCATTAAAGGGCGCCGATTCAGCTCTGGGATCATACCTCTCTAAGTTCTAACGAAATTCCCCTGTCTTTATATATTAAAGTAAATTTTATTGCGCTAGAGAACAATTGAATGAACTTGAGTTATAAATTACGAATTTCGTAGTATATCTTTCGTTTCATATTAAAATATTATGAGTTCATGAAGCGTTTTTTGGAAGACTTAATAATTTTCTCTTTATCCTTCATATTAAACAAAATTTTGAATCCATTAACTAGCATGGCGTGTTTAACGCGATAGGCTACAACCAGAGTGCTGCTACTTAATTCAGTATAAGTCCTAATATATGACAGCCACGGCGTGCGGCTACTGCTAGCCTATTGTATACGATATTCACATTGTGCGGGAGAAAAAAAAAGAGCTTATGTGTCTCCCCGTCATAATCCATCACACAGGATGGGCTCGATGGATCAAGTAATGAAATGTGTCAGACTCAGCTGGGAGAATTTAGTAGGTTAATGAAGTTGTCGTCCAGCATTATACTCTTGAGTTCGGTAGCTGCGAGAGAAGCAAAAATGTTATTTTTGAATGTTTGTTTAAAGAAATAATGTTGATTTGACTGAAGCAATGATGTTCACTTGACTGAACCAATAATGTTCACTTGACTGAAGCAATAATATTCACTTGACTGAAGCAATAATATTCGTGGCAATACTCTTGATCGTTTGCAATATTTCTGAAAGCTTGTGGAAGAATTTTACCCGCTCAGAATTCACACCGTCTCACACAACTTTGTAAGATCCGACAACTCTGATTTGAATTCTGAAGTAAACTTTGAGCAAGTGATGGCAACTCACAGGTCCAAAACACTGATAATGTTCATTGCTCCTCTCAAGGAAGGTTCCTTGATGTTGGTGAGGGGCTCTTGATTTAGGGAATTGGATCTGTTCTCCAGTTCCCCGAATTAAGCCTGAATGCCTTCCACATCCCCCCCCCCCAGCGCTGTACAATCCTCCGGGTTTAGCGCTTCCCCCTTGATTATAATAATAATAATATTCATTGCTACAGACTTAAGGTGTTTTGTGGAGGCGGATTAAAAAAAAATAGCCTCTTCAATAATAGTGAAGGGAATTTTTGTTTCTAACTCAACAAACTACACGCCTAGAATGGCGTCTAATTTGTAGTTGGCTCCTTGTGGAATACTGTAGTGTCTGACTGTTGTGTCTGGATACTCATGACTGATGTTGCTGTTGCTAGTGCTGATGTTGTATGTACATATGACTGCATATGCATATTAGCATATTAAGATATCACAGGGTTTTTGTGACCGTATTGTATATATATATATATATATATATATATATATAATATATATATATATATATATATATATATATATATATATATATATATATAATATATATATATGTCGTGCCGAATAGGCAGAACTTGCGATCTTGGCTTAAATAGCAACGCTCATCTTGCCATATAGGATAAGTGAAAATTTGTGTATGCAATAATTTCGCCAAAATCATTCTGAACCTAACGAAAAAATATATTTCACTGTGTTGTTTAGTATTAAATTATTGTAAACAAATCTAAAATATATTTAGTTGGGTTATGCTAAAATAAATTGCGCTTGTTATGATAAGGTTAGGTAAGTTTTCTAAGTTCCTTTTGGTGCAAAATTATATTTTTTACATCAACATTAATGAAAAAAATATATCTTTAAACGTATAAGAGAAAATTTTAGAAAGGACTTAATTTAAACGAGTTCTTGCTAATTGGCCAGTTTTACATATTCGGCACGACATATATATATATATATATATATATATATATATAATATATATATATATATATATATATATATATATATATATATAATATATATATATTATATATATATATATAATATATTAAATATATATATATATAATATATATATATATATATAATATATATATAATTTCCATTTTTCCTGTGTATGTGAGGCAATTTCCAAGTAAAAGTTGCAAAGTCTTTTACATAGTTACTCAATTACTGACCCCGTAGTAGAATGCCTGGCGGCCTTTCTACAGCCTGACTGAAGTTCCACAGTTCATGTTGACAGATTTCATTACTCTCATAAATAACAGGGTAGCAGCACATTGTGGATGTATCCAATCTCACTAAAAAAAATAAGCTTTCCTTACCTTATACACAGGAAGTGTTGACCAACTTGGGAGGCTGGTCAGTCAAAGACAACATCTTCGTGGCGCCTTGCACCGGGGCCTACTTCTTCACCTTCCATGCTATCTCAGATGACGGCAAGGACTTCACGTGAGTATCGTAGCCATGTCCAACCCGGGTACCAAAATATTGATACCCGAGTATCAGAAATTTGATACCAGGGTATCCAAAAAATTATACCAGGGTGTCAAAAAGAATTATACCAGTTTATCCAAACCACTACCATTCACAGATAGATACGTGTACCACCACGTGCATATGAACGTATGTGAATGTATAATCAATAATAATAGCACAAGTCCACCTGGACATGATGATACAGTTAGTCCAGAGAAGACATCTTTGTTTACAACTTACTGAGAGCTCACGATGCCTCTCATCCCACACCTGTTATTTATTTATTTTATTTATTTATTTATTTTAATTTGAGCACACATACAGAGGTACAAAAAAATACAGATAAGAGCAGTATGCCAAAGCCACTTATACTATGCATAGCATTACGGGCTGGCTTAAAATTAACTTAAGATTAACTAAGCAATGATGAAATCAGTGATAAAACATTAATGTAAACAGATTACTATAAAGCACAAGTGAGTATTACAAAGACAGGTCATATGGTTTGCATTCAGTTAGGTAGTGATTCTGTTAGGTAGTGTATTTAAAAAATAATAAAGTTAGATTCTGTTTTAGGTTTAACATTTATGTGATATAATTGTGAGAAACATTTAAGATATACAATTTATAAGGTTCAGTTATTCAGTATTTATTTGGTTTTGGGTGAGTAAGTGATCTTTGAGAAGAGACTTGAATTTATAAACAGGTAGTGTTTCTTTTATATTTACAGGCAATGAATTCCAGATTTTAGGGCCTTTTATGTGCATTGAGTTTTTGCATAGTGTGAGATGGACACGAGGAACATCAAAGAGTGATCTGTGCCTTGTGTTATGGTCATGTGTTCTGTTGAGGTTGGCAAGATGTTTGAGGGGAGGGTTAATATCAGAGTTAAGTGTTCTATGTATGTAATAGGTGCAGTAATAAGTATGGATGTTTTGTATGGTGAGTAGGTTTAACTCACTACTCTATGGTCTTTTGTAGTAACACCCATTTATCAGTGCTCCATGACCCCTATGGATTTAGTGGTTTCCCATGAATATAATAATAAATTTAATCAAATAATGATAATTATCCTGACAGGGTGGCACTGATGAAGGAAGGAGAGTACCAGGTCACTGCTTACGGTACTAAACAGGGGTACCAGCAGGGCTCCAATTCAGCCTTGCTGTTCCTCAACGCTGGAGCCAGAGTGTACCTGGAGGTGCAGCAGGGAACCATCTACGAGCACCCTTTCAACGAGGTCTACACCACCTTCAGTGCCTTCCTCGTCGAGCAGTTCTAGAGAGGATAACGAGTACATACCACTTGTGATGCGCACGGATGTAAGAGTGAGGGAACTAAATAACTGTTAACAGACAGCCTTTCTGCCGACTACATGTGGTGCAGCTATAATTCTTGTCTGCAGAGATGAGAAAGGAGAAGCGACAGAAGGGAACGAGGAAGGCAGGAGGTGAGGGAAAGAGGGAAGTAGAAGAACAGAAATAAGGAAAGTATGGAGGTAAGAAGAGAGAAGGAGGAATAAGGAAGATAGAATGAGGAATGCCCAACATTCATGGCTCATCCCTCCTCATCAAGTTCTATTTATAAGTTATTCATCTATTTATTTATCTATTTATTTAAAAAAAACACCAATTTAACTTAGTAGTCAATAAAGTCAGTTTCCTAACTATTGTTGGCGAAGACAAACTATTCAAACAAGATGTACAAATTACAAAAATACTGTTGTTGATTTTTAGTGTTCGATCGGTGACTTTTACAATAAAAGGAATATATGAAGTTTTATTTAAACCCGTTCGTTTCTGTGTTGAGGTAACCAGGCAAAACAATCAGCGCCAAAAAAAAAAATTAGTCTTTGTGGCGACCGAGAAAGACAACATCAGTGACAAAGGTTAATTGAGATTAGAAGCCTATCGGCTAGAATTCTTGGACCCTTCAAGAGCGGTTCCTTGATACTGGCGAGGGGCTCTCGATCTAGGGAATTGGATCTGTGCTCAAGTTCCCTGAGTTAAGCCTGAATGCCTTCCATCCCCCCATCTCAACAGGAGCTGTATAATCTCCACGGGTTTAGGGCTCTCCCATAATAATAATAATAATAATAGAGTTCTTGGGACTGAATTTCAAATTTTATTTTTCTTTACTCATTCCTGAGACAGCAAACACTGTGTCTGAAACAATACACAAACAACCCGGACCAAATGAAACTTACAAAGGCGTTTCGGTCGCTAGTTAATGGTCCAAGTCGGACCGAAACGTCGTCGTGAGTTGGAGTCTCCTATGTACAGGTTATCTGTACATTGTTCCAGCCACGGTGTTGTGCCTCCTGAGTCTTCTGTAAACAAGTCATATCACACAGCATCTTACGACATTCTCAAATGGTCTTTTACTTATTTTTTAACTGTGGTAAAGTCTACCAACCATCTCATGATGTACACTTATTTGTGTGAGAAGGTTTGAAACCGACAAGTGAAGAATGAGATATTACCACCATTCTGGAAATCCCTGACTTTGCTAGCTGTAAATAAGCTTACCATATTTGTGTGTGGTGTGTGTGTGTTTTTTTGTGTTATGTGTATGGGGGTGGTGGTAGTGTGTGGGGTTGGGGTGTTGTGTAGTATGAGTGTGGGGTGTGTATGAGTGTGTGTGTTGTGTGTGTATGAGTGTGTGTGGGGTGTAATGAGTGTGGGGTTGTGTGTATGGTTTGTGTATGTGTTGTACTCACCTATTTTGTACTCACCTAGTTGAGGTTTGCGGGGGTCGAGTCCGAGCTCCTGGCCCCCCCTCTTCACTGATCGCTACTAGGTCACTCTCCTGAGCCGTGGACTTTTATATACCTTGCTTAAAGCTATGTATGGATCCTGCCTCCCTACATCGCTTCCCAACTATTCCACTTACTGACTACTCTGTGGCTGAAGAAATACTTCCTAACATCCCTGTGATTCATCTGTGTCTTCAGCTTCCAACTGTGTCCCCTTGTTACTGTGTCCAATCTCTGGAACATCCTGTCTTTGTCCACCTTGTCAATTCCTCTCAGTATTTTGTATGTCGTTATCATATCCCCCCTATCTCTCCTGTCCTCCAGTGTCGTCAGGTTGATTTCCCTTAACCTCTCCTCGTAGGACATACCTCTTAGCTCTGGGACTAGTCTTGTTGCAAACCTTTGCACTTTCTCTAGTTTCTTCACGTGCTTGGCTAGGTGTGGGTTCCAAACTGGTGCCGCATACTCCAATATGGGCCTAACGTACACGGTGTACAGGGTCCTGAATGATTCCTTATTAAGACGTCGGAATGCTGTTCTGAGGTTTGCCAGGCGCCCATATGCTGCAGCAGTTATTTGGTTGATGTGCGCTTCAGGAGATGTGCCTGGTGTTATACTCACCCCAAGATCTTTTTCCTTGAGTGAGGTTTGTAGTCTCTGGCCCCCTAGACTGTACTCCGTCTGCGGTCTTCTTTGCCCTTCCCCAATCTTCATGACTTTGCACTTGGTGGGATTGAACTCCAGGAGCCAATTTCTGGACCAGGTCTGCAGCCTGTCCAGATCCCTTTGTAGTTCTGCCTGGTCTTCGATCGAGTGAATTCTTCTCATCAACTTCACGTCATCTGCAAACAGGGACACCTCAGAGTCTATTCCTTCCGTCATGTCGTTCACAAATACCAGAAACAGCACTGGTCCTAGGACTGACCCCTGCGGGACCCCGCTGGTCACAGGTGCCCACTCTGACACCTCGCCACGTACCATGACTCGCTGCTGTCTTCCTGACAAGTATTCCCTGATCCATTGTAGTGCCTTCCCTGTTATCCCTGCTTGGTCCTCCAGTTTTGCACCAATCTCTTGTGTGGAACTGTGTCAAACGCCTTCTCACAGTCCAAGAAAATGCAATCCACCCACCCCCTCTCTCTTGTCTTACTGCTGCACCATGTCATAGAACTCCAGTAGGTTTGTGACACAGGATTTCCCGTCCCTGAAACCATGTTGGCTGCTGTTGATGAGATCGTTCCTTTCTAGGTGTTCCACCACTCTTCTCCTGATAATCTTCTCCATGATTTTGCATACTATACATGTCAGTGACACTGGTCTATAGTTTAATGCTTCATGTCTGTCTCCTTTTTTAAAGATTGGGACTACATTTGCTGTCTTCCATGCCTCAGGCAATCTCCCTGTTTCGATAGATGTATTGAATATTGTTGTTAGGGGTACACATAGCACCTCTGCTCCCTCTGTGTGTGTGTGTGTGTGTGTGTGTGTGTTGTGTGTGTGTGTGTGTGTGTGTGTGTGTGTGTGTGTGTGTGTGTGTGTGTGTGATTATGTGTGTGTGTGTATGAATTTGTATGTGTGTGTGTGTGTGTGTGTGAGAGAGAGAGACTCAGCAACCAACATTTGCACCAATAACTCACTACAGTTGTGACCGGGTGTGGAAGTGTGAATTGCTCATTACTCTAAAATTTGTTCATGATTGCAGCCATGTATACACGAAAGTAACCATTCTTACAGTATTCATTACCTTTGTAACTTGTGAGTTCATTACCTTTGTAACTTGTGAGTTCATTACCTTGTACCTAGTTCAGCCATCAAAACTTTGGAGCCCGGTCCCTGGACCCATTGTGTACCTCTGTAATCTGTAAATACCTTTGTAACTTGTCATGATTGTGACTAGACCTACCTGGAGTTCATTACCTTTGTAAATTGTGAGTTCATTACCTTTGTAAATTGTGAATTCATTACCTCTGTAACTTGCTCAGCTATCAAAACTTTGAGGCCCAGTCCCTGGACCCATTATGTACCTCTGTAATCTTTTGACTACCGCCCACAGGATGGGTATGGGGTGCATAATAAACATATTAAACTAAACTATGCAACACATGGGAATCTTTATTGAAGAAACGTTTCGCCACACTTCTCTCCTGGCGAAACGCTTCTTCAATAAAGATTCCCATGTGTTGCATAAGTGTCTCAATTCTTCTACTTTATTTTGTAGAGGAAGAAGCAGTAAGCTGACAGGAAGCTTCGCTCACATAACCAAAAGCTTAACTGAGAGGGTCATGTGACTTATCTTTCCTGCAAATATGTATGAGCGCTGTAAGGCCAAATTTATTGGTAAAATTAAGCGCTGTATAACCCGTATGGGTATGGTTCTTAAAGTGACTAAGTTTATTTGTTGGTTAAACTAAGAGACGTTTATAAGAATTTAGGAAAATAAGCAGCACCGGATTCTGTTTCCCTTTTGTTCTGACATTTATTGTCATGATTCTGGCGTTTATTGTGTGATTCTGCCATTGTCATGATTCTGCCATTGTCATGATTCTGCCATTGTCATGATTCTGGCATTTATTGTGATTCTGCTATTGTCATGATTCTGGCATTTATTGTGTGATTCTGACATTGTGTGATTCTGGGATTTATTGTGTGATTCTGGCACTTATCGTGTGATTCTGGCATTTATTTTTATTGTTTTGTATCATATATTGTTACAGTACTGGAATGTTTATTGTGATTACAGTATTTATTGTTGTTGTTCGGGCACATATTGTTGTGGTTCTGGCATTTATAATTTCAGTACCAACATTTACTGTCGTGGTAATTGCGTCTGGATAATGTAATGGAAAGAAAAACAAACATTTGATTCAGAGATCAATGTTCTTTTGAGGACATTGTAGCAACAACAACAGCCTTAAAGGGAACCTCGCAAAGGATGTCTATGTCTTCAGATTTATGGTATTTTAGACTGTACTCACACTGTGAGGAACAGACATTGCAGTCTAGGAGTTGGTAGCCCCTGAAGGAGGTTCCTTGGTCCCAGGAATTGGACCTGATCTCCCTTTTCCTGGCGTTTGAACCTGATTCCCTCCCATTTTCCCAGGAGCTATATGACCTCTGTAGATTTAGAACACCCAAATGAACGTAAATAATAATCATCTTAGTTATGCTCATTCTGTATAAAAAAAAAAGGTACTGCAATCTATTAATTAATTGTTCGTCTTTTTCTGTTTCTATTTTTGTAATATCAAAGTTCATTTTTCCAGACAAAATATAATTATTCTATCAAAAAGTTATGTATATCTAGCACAAAGCATTTTCTTTCTCTCTGCTTATTTTTGACTGATATGTTTGCCTTACAAGCAGTTTTTTTAGTTTGTCTTTAGGCTACAATAATACCATTAAATGCAGCAAATTTATCTGAGAGTTGTGAAATCACCGCAGCACACACACACACCCAAGAGAGCGTCACCGCAAGGCTTTGTCAAAGTGCTTCACTTCTTGCAAACGTGCGGCAGAAGTACTACTTCATCTATACAAAGTCTTGTCAAGTGTCTCGTTGCGCTTCACACAGCTCAACACACCCTTGCCAAAGGGTGTGTTGAGCTGTCGTATCAATGTCGTGTGTTGAGCTGTCATATCAATAAGTGACTTAATCCTCTGTGTTTTGGTCTTATACTGAACTCTCCTTCTGTCCGGCGATGAGCGGCACACATGCGTCGGGCTCACCAGGTTGATCCTCACATGTCATTAAGTACTCCTGAACTGCTGTTGCAGGGGATATGAAGGGGGCATCGTCTTGCTCTCTGGCTGATAAAGTTGCTGTGAAGGGAGAGTCTTCTAGCCTTTTAGCCGCTGACTTGGACCTCAACATAGTATGAGCACGTTCTTTTGGTACTGAATTAGACATTCAACATTGCATGAGCTCGTTCTTTCGGTACAGAATTGGCCCTCAACATAGTATGAGCACGTTCTTTCGGTACTGAATTGGACTTCAACATAGCATGAGCTCGTTCTTTCGGTACCGACTTGGACCTCAACATAGTATGAGCACGTTCTTTTGGTGCTAAGTTGAACTTCAGTTTTTTCTCTTTCGCTGCGGAAGATAGCCACAATTGAGCGTGTTGTGGCTCTTTCGTGGTTGAAAAAATCAATGAAAAGTGTTCTTGCCCTTTTGCTGCCGAGGAAGGCGTCAGTGATGGACGTCCTTGATTTTCAGCTACTGCAGTAGACCTTAAAGGTTTGGATTCTTGCTGTAGCTCCTGCGAGTGACTGTTATAACCATCCACGGCCTTTATGGTGTTGTTTCCTGGTTTCTGCTGATAAAGTGAGAAGCGGTCATTGTCGTTGCTGCTGCGAGTGAGAAGCTGTTGGAGAGGTGGTGCAGCACGTTGAAGAGGTACAGTAGCGTGTTGGAGAGGTATAGCAGCGTGTTGGAGAAGAACAGAAGCATGTTGGAGAGGCGGTGAGACATGCTGGAGATACGTAGCTGTGTGGGGAAGGGATGCAGAGGTGGGATGCTTTGGATTCCAGTTGTTCAGCTTCAGTGACATTCCAGAGATACCCCCATGCAGCAGGACATCACCATCACCAGCGTCAGTACCACTGCTGGCTGGCTGTGGAACACACAAGAAAAAGAGATGTGTAATAAACACTGATACGGCATTGAGCATGATGGTACAGTAATTCCCAACCTTCTTTCAATCATTAACCAATAACCTTTCTCTCCATCGCCACAGTACCTCTAAAGATCTCATTTACGAAAAGAAAGTTCAGGTGACGCTTTTGGTCCATCCTCGACAATTGATAACTGTTTGATGACTCGATTTTGATACACTCGAAAAGTGGTCACAATTCTCTCTCCGTATGCGTTATTTTAATCGTTCCAGGCACGTTATTCTGACTTGTATTCTTCAAGATACTTGCTACTGAATTAAGCTCAAGTGTACATTATTACTTGTTACTTGGGTCACATAGCAAGAAACATGTTTACAAAAAAATACTTTTGCAGTCGGGTACTCCACAACCCTTTCATTTTTAACAGTTTCCCCCCAAAAATAATAATAATAATAATAATAATAATAAAAGTGGGGGTGGACATGGCGGATGGGTCTATGAAAGACTAGGTAAACCATTGAGGGGAAAGAAGATAAATAATGTATTGAGACATTTTTGGAAACAAAAAAAATTATGTATGAAGGCAAAAAGGAAAATATGCTATAATTGTATTAACATCTTTATATGGCGTGAGTAATGGTTTTTAAACATTGTACTGAGGAGGAGGCTAGAGGCATAGATGCCAAGATGTTTGAGAGCATTGTGTGAGGGTGAATATTATGCAGAGAATTAAGTTTATTCATATATAGGTACACATAAATATAGTTACATAAATTATACATAGCAGCATATAAGTAGATTACCTAGGATAACCGTAAAAAAGTCAGAAAAGTGATTTAGTTCCATTGGGGGTACAGAAATAAGACCGTGTGGGGGTTACAAAAGGAATAATAGAGAGGATGTATGAGGGGCTGTTGAGGTAGATTGGACATTTAGAAGTGAAGAAGGAAAATAAGATGAACAAGAGAGGAAACATCGTCTAACTTCGGCTAGGTGCCCAAACTTATCTGGGGTCTGGCGTCGTGGATAAAGTACTGTGTACTCTGATGCAAAGTTTGCAGGTTCGAGTCCTGCTTTGGACGTGGAGATAATGTTTATACATACATACTGACCTACTCTTAAAGTTGTAATTTTGTTGGCACTTAAAATGCTGTTACCAGAACAACCTTGAAAAGAGTTAACTCACTGAAGAAGAAGAATTTAGATCAATTGAATATACGTAGATAAAATATATCAAGCCGCTTCCTTTCCTTCAAGCCTGCCTGTCTGCCTTAATTCTACCCTCCTGTCCGCCTCCATCCATCCCTCCTGCCTGCCTTCCTCCTTCCCTCCTGCCCCTCCTTTCCTACATGCAATCCTTACTCTTCCCTCCACGTCCACCCCTTTTGTTGCCTGTATTCCTGCTTTCCTCTTTGCCACCTTTCTCCCCCTCCCTCCTCATTTCTGCTTCCTTCCTTCCCTCCTGCCTTCCCCCTTCTACCTCCCTTCTTACCTCCTGCTGGTCACCTTTCCTCCTACCTTCCTTCCTTCCCTCCTTCCTCCTGCTGCTTGCACCAGTTCAGGTATGCACGGGGGAAGGCTCCACTACCACACATCACCTCAACAGCTTCTGTATTCCCAGGCAGCGGCTTTAATTTGGGATTCATCCGTGAAATAGGAGGTTGCCAAGTCTAGATAGGTGTCCCTCTGCTCTGTAAACGGTAAGGCGATGCCCTCCATAATGGCGTCTGCCTTGCCAACACCCATGTCTCAACCCGTGAAAATCACTTCGACTACTGAAACATTCAATCATTAAAAATCTGACTCCATATCCTTTCCAATTAATAATTCTACGTGTTTGACTGATGAAAAGAGACTACAGTGAAGTTTTAGCGCCGAGGAATGGAGGGTTGTTGGTTAAATAGAGCGAAGCCGAAGTCGAGGTTGGGGTTAATGAGAGGTGAGGCACTGGGAGGCGGTAAAGCAGTGTAGGTGCGCGGGTCTTGCATTTGTGACCAACGATTTGGAAAATGGGTAGGGAAGAGTTATGGATTTTTGGAGCCATCAAGAAATTGCTGCTTCGTGTATTTTGCTGAGGTCTGAGATGTTAACTGGCAGACGGTGTGACTTATTGTGTAAGATCTCTTTCTCTCTCTCTCTCACTTAAATTACTTCTCTCTCTCTCTCTCTCTCTAATAACTTACTTTCTCTCTCTCTCTCTCTCTCTCTCTCTCTCTCTCTCTCTCTCTTCTCTCTTCTCTCTCTCTCTCTCTCTCTCTCTCTCTTTCTGATGCTGTTTTATAACTCTTCTGTGTCCACAAATTAATTTTTTTGCATTTCATTTTTTACATCAAAATGACAATTTAGTGTAAACAACGTCTGAACCAGCAGAGTTTTAATCTGCCTCAAACTGTGACCCTCAAGTAGCCAGTAACACATTCACATACTGGCCAACACACCCATCATGACTTTTCCAGTGTCTCCGTTGGAAAAGTCCGGCCTTTAGACGTCTAAAAGACTAAATGCGTAACTGAGAGGGACGGTGATGCATCCTGCGGGTCAGGTGATGGGACCATCACGCCCATAACATCTGCCATAATGTATACTATGTATGCATTTCTTGTAGCTATGTAATATGTGTATTATTTGTGTATGGCCTAATACCTTATTTACATTTCAGTTTTTATTTTAATTTTGTAGGTGTATCGTGTTGAGTAATTAACTTGAGCAGTTTTGTGAAACATCATTTACACGTAGTTTATTCATTATATATTATATATATATATATATATATATATATATATATATATATATATATATATATATATAATATATTATATAATATATATATAACTATTGTCGTGTTCGATTTTGACTTCAAATAGCACGTTCTTCTATGCCGAATGAGGCAATGTGAAATTTGTGGTTGTAGCATATTCCGCAAAAACGTTCTGTAACTAACTAAAAAATATATATTCATTGTATTTTTTATTATTAAATATACTCTTCAACTTATCTAATATATGTTTAGTTAGATTAGGCTAAATTAAATTCGCTGTTATAATAGGTTATGAAATGTTGTCTAATTATTTTTTTGTTACAAAATTATTAATATTTTACATTACTAAATTATTAAATTTTAAACGTACAAGAGAAAAAATTTTTAGGAACAGAGACTTTAAAATTTTAAATGAATTCTTGCAAACTGACCAGTTTTACCTATTCTGCAGGATATATATATATATACATCACACGCTCTACATGTGCACATATTCTCATAAACACGTGGAGGGAGAAAATATTGACAGCATAAAACTCAAAGAGCAGACATATTGGGCCTTTTTCGTTTGCTATTTTTTTTGAGCAGTTGTCCCTGTGAGCCAACATCACCAGCACTACCACACCAGCGGTTGAAAATAGTGACGAGGGAGAGAGAAGGCATGTTTTATGGAATAAGCTTCTGTTGGGTCAACATTTCGATCCGTGTAGAGCTTTATCAAGTCAAGCTCTGCCGAGTGAGATGTTGTCTCGGTAAATGTTTGTTCAGCAAATGTTTGTTTTCTCTAACATTTGTTGTTATTTGCTAGGTAATTAAATCAATGAATATTACTAGTAATTCAGTTGTTCCCGAGTAAATATAAGTGAATATGTCACTGTTGGAAAGTAGTTGATGTATTAAGCTGGAAGTCTATCGACTGTAAGAGAAATGTTAAATCTACATATTACTGGTATACCACCAAAGATACTTTTATCCATAAAACAGAGATTATAACAAACTTTGTTCCATATACACTACTCCTCATATACGTCCCACAGTGTATATTGTATGAAATATGATTTATATGATGTATAATTTAACGGCAAACATACGTAATATACAAAAAAAAATATTGTGGATACCATAATTATGTTATTTTGGTATATTATTCTAATCGATTCCACAATTCTTGTATATGAAGAGACCATCGTCAGAGATGGCCATTCTCGATTTACGGAAAAGACTCCAGTTCTGCTGGAAGGAAGCCTATGAGGCTGCCATAGCTGCTGAACCCATACTGGAATGCTTGACGATATCCCCATCGCCGTACTGAAGTCTAATAACTCAGCCTGACAGTTTTCATTACCAGTGTGACGGAGTATGACAGGGAACCATAACTTCTTCCCTGTTCACACCAATTAACTCTCATATGTAAGATGGTAGCCGTTAAAAAAATGTGTTCTCTCTCTCTCTCTCTCTCTCTCTCTCTCTCTCTTTCTCTCTCTCTCTCTCTCTCTCTCTCTTGCCTGGTAGTTTTGGAGAGCCTGGTAGGTGTGTAAAAGAGTAGCTGCCGTGGTAATGGTCCTTACTCTTCTCTCGCCCATACTCTGTGTCTCTGTAACAGTTGAGTAAATTTAGATGGCTTGTCTGGTGCTCAGTGGACGGAGGATCGAGCCTCCACTACAAGGGTCAAGTATTTCACAACAACAACAATAATAATAATTGGAAGGTAGGTTGGTAGAGAACAACCACCCTGGGAGGTGCTTTCATCCTGTCATATGAATGTGAAACGGAAACCTGTCAAGTCTCTGTTTTTACACTCTTGACAGATTGCTGGTCTTTTCTGTCTCATAATTGGATGGTTAGTTGAGCTTAGGGTCTGCAGACTACACAAGGGGTCGTTAAGGATGCATTTAACCTATCTGCCTTTTCCGACAACCGAAATCCCACCTCCCTTAACCTTTCCCCGCTATAAAGTTTTTTAATTCCTAAAAGGGGAAAGAAATACAACGTCTCGGGGTTTTATATCAGTGAAGACATTCACCTCTCGGTTATACCCTTGTTTTTCTCAAAACACGCAGGATGACAGGAAGAGTATTTTGCAAATAATTTTTTGGAATATTCGAAGACAGTGCAAATGGTTGGTGAAAAATGGAATAGTATCAAAAAAAAAAATAAAAAGGTGTACAAAAAAAATTAATGAAAGGAAAAAAATAAGATAAGGTGAAAATAGAACTTTGGTAATGAATTTCGGCTTTAGACTGGACGGAGTTTTTGGGTCATCTGACGAGGCCTCCCGCGGGTTTCCCCCCTCCCCCCCCTTTAAAAATTTTAAAAATTAGGCATATAATCATGACATAACGTAACAAATGTAATAGACTGTAATCTCACACCTCATGTACGATATGCCATCTTTTTATCAACAATGTATCTCCCCAAAAACTTTTTTTCCGTATTCGTTTAAAGTAAAAAAATTACCTAATGGTAAAAAAAATGAAAAGATAGGGTGGGAGGGTAATGGAATTTCAAATGGCTTCAGAAAGAAATCCAAAAATTTTCCTTTAAGCCTGCCCTTTTTTTCCCTTTATATATATATTTTTATATATAATATATATAAAATATATATAAATTTTTATAATATTAATTAATTAAATATTTTATATATAAAAATATTACTGTAGTTATCCCGACACTGAAGACATTTAAACAAAACCTTTGTCATAAAATATCGTAACACTGAATTGTGTATATTCCAGTAAAACTCCCATGTTTTCCCCTTTAAGGGGGGTACCCTTTAAGGGGATATCTTCAAGGGGAACCTTCAAGGGGGATACCTTTAAGGGGTATACCTTCCTGCTACTGATGGCCCTTCACCAAGACTTAGTGAACGTTCTTGTCTTCAAGGATCAAACTTTGTTACTTCCACATAAATCAACAATTTTGTAACTTATGCAGCATTTTAATTATTCTTTTCAATTTTTTTCTTCATGCAGAAGTGGGGCAAGAACCCCCCGGAGAGAGAAGAGAGAGAGAAAGAGAAAAGAGAGAGAGAGAGAGAAAAGGGGGAGAAAGAGAGAGAGATAAACCCTTTAGACAAAATTCAAGACAAATGACAGAGTTTTTTGACTACCACTCACTACTTTGTGATCGTCAATATGGCTTCATGAAAGGTTTTTCTGCTGCTGATCTGTTGTTAAACCTCTCCACTAAGTGGCACCAGTCACTGGATGAATCCAAAGTCAGCTGTGTGGTAGCACTGGACATTGCTGGTGCTTTCGACCGAGTGTGGCACCAGGGCCTCTTAGCAAAACTTCAAGCACTGGTAATTGCAGGCTCTACGCTATGTCTCCTCAGTGATTACCTTCATGGTAGATCTCTAAGGGTAGTTCTCAATGGAACAGAATCAGCAAGACATCCTATTGGGGCAAGTGTTCCACAAGGAGGCGTGCTGGGACCATTGTTATGGAATGTCTACTTCAATGACCTTCTTCATCTCATCCCAGAATCCCATGCATATGCAGATGACTGTACACTGACATTTTACTTATCCAAGAGAAGAAATGCCAGCTGCTCTAAGCTACATTTAATTACCAGCTGAGAGCTATATCAGCTTGGGGAAAATAGATGGCAAGTAACATTTTTCACCTGAGAAAACGCAAATGATGATCGTCTCTAGGGACCATGATGGTAATGCTGGTGCAGTAGTAAGGTGAATGGGACGATGTTGGCACCTGGAGAAGAAGTTGATAAACCTTGGGGTGAAATTTGACTCCAAACTAACCATGAAGAACCATGTTTTAAATCTTGCAAACAAGGCAGCCAGGAAGCTTACGCACTTCGCCGTATCTCACATCTGCTTGACAGTAGGGGTTGCAAGATCCTGTACGAGGCACAAGTACGCTCACACCTTGAGTATGCTCCATTCTTGGTTTGCCGTCCCCCCTCTCATCTGCGACTGCTTGACAGAGTAGAGAACAGAGCAAGACGTCTCATCTCTCGCCTGGACCCATCCTGGATGGGTCGTCCCTTTCAGCAGAGCCTTCAACATAGGAGGGATGTGGGTGGCCTTACTGTTATGTACAAGGCCAATATTGTCAAAATACCACACTTGGGGTCCACTTCGAGGACAGCGCCGGGAAAAAAGCTTTTATGCCACAAGACGGGGAGAAAGCAGCAACCCTTTACTCTGGCTTTTACCCCTTCTCCAGAACAACACTCCATCGAGATCATAATACCCAGGATGACTCGAGTATGGAACACATTTTGTACAGCATAATGATGTCAACGAGATAACGTCCAGTTGATCAAATGAAAATGCTGGCCCACAGATGGCTCCAACTTCATCCTGTTCCCTACTTGTTATGTCTCATAACAATAAAAATGCCCTTTTAAATGAGCTGATGTAGGTAACAGCTTTAGCTTGTCAATAAAGTTAGGAATCCTTAACCCGTAAATAGCTTGTCAATAAACCTAGGGATCCTTAACCTTGTCAAACCATGTGTAAAAAAAAAAAAAAAAAAAAAAAAAAAAAAAAAAGAGAGAGAGAGAGAGAAGGCAATATGACCACGATTGTGTGAAATCTATTCATTGCAGAGGGGAGGAATGTTAATGGAGGAGAAGGCTGGCAGAGAGAAGAGCAATGAGAGGGGAATTAAAGGGAGGATGAGGGTAAAGGGGAGGTAAACCAGAGGGAGAGTCAAAAAGAAAGACAACAGGGAAGATCAGAGAGAATAAAAAGAGAGAGAGAAAGGAAAGGGAGAATAGGAGGAAAGTGGGATAGCGGGAGGGAAAGGAAGGTAAAAAAAGAGTGGTAAAGAGAGGAGAGGGGAGGTAAACTGAGGAGAAGAGAAGGGTAAAGGGAGAGGAGGGAGGGGAAATAATGGGAGGGTAGGAGATTTCTATGGTAACTGAGGGGAGTCCAGCATCGTAAATTACTTTCATGGAATTTGTTAAAAGAAAAAGGGCATTGTTTTACCCTTAACCAGTGTTCAATTTGTCTGAGGGGAAATGTCCCTGGATCTGAGGGGAATATACCTCAGAGGAAGGATTAGTCTAACAGAGGGGAATATTCCTCTATCAGAAGGGAATATCCCATAGATCGATTGCTAGTGCACTAATCTCACACAATAAGGTCCGGGGAACGATCCCCAGTACGGCTGGAAACATTAGAACGTGTTTCCATAAGACACCTGCTGTCCCTGTTCACCCATCAGTAAAATAGGTACCTGGGTGTTAATCGACTGATGTGGGTCGCATCCTGGAGACAAAAATAACTTAATTTGCGGGAAATGCTCAGCATAACAAGCGGCTTTCTGTATAGTACTATGTCGCTGGTGTCAGCTATGGTCTGTATACCTTGTACATGTACTTGAAAAATAAAGATTATTTTGAAAAAAACCATACCATGGGTGGGGTTTGAACCCGCGGTTATAGAAAATGGTGTATTGCGTCATTTGTTTATTGTGGTTGATGATGTCACACAACTGTGATGACGTCACACACCGCATCTGTGACGACGTCACACAACTCACCTGACTGAGGGATGACGTCAGGATTCTCGTCTTGACGCAAGTTAGAATCCTTGAGGGAGGTCTCGGGGTTGGTCTTGGCGAGGTTACCCGCAGGCGCCCCCACGCCCGCACGCCCACGGACCCGGACGGCGACGCAGACGATCACCACCACCAACAGCGCTCCGGCGGCCACGCCCACCAGCACCGCCACCGTCGTGGTGTGGGCGCGATGACCCACCGTGGGCGGTGCTGGTCCCGGCGATGGCTTGACTGCAGCTTTAGGAGACAGTGATGTGAGAGAGGAGAGAGAGAGAGAGAGAGAGAGAGAGAGAGAGAGAGAGAGAGAGAGAGAGAGAGAGAGAGAGAGAGAGAGAGAGAGAGAGAGAGAGAGAGAGAGAGAGAACAACTTATAAAGTAAGCCAAATCTCCAGTACTCTGCACAAGAGACGAATAACCATTATATCGGCATCTCACACCATTGTAAACTTCTACAACGTTGTTTCTTTGATTTCATTTTTGATGAAGAAAAATAATCTATGGAAGGAAAACCGATGGGAATATTTCCATTTGATACATCACATACAATGATTTTTTTATAATAATTCAACGAAAAGTAAAAAAAAAATCATACCAGCTCATCTAATAATTTAATAAAAGGAATAAATTTTAATATATATATATATATATATATATATATATATATATATATATATATATATATATATATATATATATATATATATACAGTGGACCCCCGCATAGCGAACGCCTTGCATAGCGAACAATCCGCATAGCGAACGCTTTGTTCGCTGAAATTTTCCCCGCATAGTAGACAAAAACCCGCTCAGCGAACTTCGTCCGAGACGCGTCCAATGTGGGCCCTCAGCCAGCCTCACATGTGCCGCCCGTCCCATTGTTTACCAGCTAGCCTCCGCGGTAACATTCAAGCATACACTCGGAATATTTCGTATTATTACAGTGTTTTCGGTGCTGTTTCTGGAAAATAAGTGACCATGGGCCCCAAGAAAGCTTCTAGTGCCAAACCCTGTGGTAAAAAGGGTGAGAATTAGTATGGAAATTAAGAAAGATTTTGAAGGGTTTGGGGCTAACCCTGAGAAGCCTATGCCAGTTGTGGAATCCATTGTGCCTACTTCAAAAATTAAGGAAATGTGTGCACAGTGGGTTGAACTGCAAACCTTTATGGATGAAAATCACCCTGACACAGCTGTTGCAAGCCGTGCTGGTGACTATTTCAATGACAATGTTATGGCCCATTTTAGGAAAGTCTTGAAGGAACGGGAGGTACAGAGCTCTATGGACAGATTTGTTGTGCGACAGAGGTCCAGTGACTCTCAAGCTGGTCCTAGTGGCATTAAAAGAAGAAGGGAAGTAACAACAGAAAAGGACTTGCTACCTCAAGTCCTAATGGAAGGGGATTCCCCTTCTAAACTGTAAGAAGATAATGCTCTCCCCTCCTCCCATCCCATCAATCATCACCAGATCTTCAATAAAAGTAAGTGTCATGTAATTGTGCATGCCTTTTTCAGTTTGTGTGTACTAAAATTAACATTTTTTTGTGGTAAAAAAATTTTTTTTTCATACTTTTGGGTGTCTTGCACGGATTAATTTTATTTCCATTATTTCTTATGGGGAAAATTAATTCGCATAGCGAACATTTCGCATAACGACCAGCCCTCTTGCACGGATTAAGTTCGCTATGCGGGGGTCCACTGTATATATATATATATATCTGTGTCAATATTATGTATAGGAACATATGTAAATAATTTACATACGCAGATATGGATTATCTATGAAAAGATGTATATAGTATCTATGCAAACAGGAATAAAAAGAGAGACAAAGATGTATATGAGGATGAACGTGGTACAGCAAGATGACAACGATGAAGGTAGTAAAAAAAGAAACAGGAGAGAAGGAAGAGAATAGGAAAGAGCAAAGAAACAGACGAGGAGGAAGAGGAGAGGACGAAGGAGAGAGTCGAACTTACCCATGTAGTGAGGAGAGACTAACGTAAACAGACGCAAGAAGTGACTTGTGTCACACACACTTACCAGTATGTTTCTCAGGCAGGTGTGTGAGAGTTAGAGCTGAGAGTGCCACCTCCTCCCCTCGACCCTTGGCATTGAAGGAGTACACTACCCCCTGCAGTGCCATCCCGGCCTCCAGGCCCTCCACCGAGAACCTAGGCACCTGTGCCACGAAGGAAAGTGAAAGCTCAGTCATCCCTCGGAAGACACAGTGCCCACACCACCTAAACAGCGGTGCAGAGCAGAACGTTACTGAGACGACGTTTTGGCTCAATGAGAGCGAAACATCTAAATAAATGCCTGACCTCTGACTGTTTAGACAATGACATTTCTCTCGCATATTTCATTGTGTTTGTTTATTATTTTCGTGTGAATAATATTATTATTATTATTATTATTATTACTATTATTATTATTATTATTATTATTATTATTATTATTATTATTATTATTATTATTATTATTATTTCTCGGTATATACACAGTAAGACCTTTCTATTAATTTCATTCTAGGGGTTAAAATGCTCTTCGACTCAATATTCTTCAACACAATGTTCTCCAACAGACTGTTCTCCAACACAGTGTTCTCCAACACAGTGTTCTCCAACACAGTGTTCTCCAACACAGTGTCTTCCAACACAGTGTTCTCCAACGCATTTTTCTCCAACACAGGGTTCTCGAACACAGTGCTCTCCAACACAGTGTTCTCGAACACAGTGTTCTCCAACACAGTGTTTTCCCCAAAAAAAGTTCACCAAACGTGTTTCTTATTAAAAAAAACGGCTTTAAATTTCCCCTATTTAAAACATTTCCCTTCAACGAACTTCAATTTCCGAAAGAGCTCCGACTTATAATAATTAGAATATTGTATTGATCGTAAACCCCGGGGCGTCATTTTGGAATTTTGGGGGGTTTGATCCCCCCTTTCCCCCCCCTGCAACATGCACTAAAAAAGATTCTTGCACATGACCAGCGAACGTTCGGAAAAGAAGTTTCCCGGCTTTTCTCCCGTTCCTTTCCCGCCACAGATGATGGTGTTTATTTTTTATTATGGGTTTATTTAGTTTTTCTAACATGATCCAACTTAACAAACTAACTTTAATTAACTTAAAATGTAAAAAATTCTTGTTTTTAGTTTAATTACTGGAACGTAAATATAGTTGAGACAACGTCAAGAAAAGTACTTAAGAAATAAGCAAACAAAAATTTTATATCTACACTAGTGAAAGGGGGTGACCCCCCTCACTAGTGTGGGGGAACCACTACACTAGTGAAGGTGGGGACACCCCTACACTTGTGGTGACCCCTACACAGTGAAGGTGGTGACACCCTACATATGTGGTACACCCTACACTGTGTTGAACCCTACATAGGAAGGGGTGACCCCAATACACTATGTGGGACACCCCCTACACTAGGGGGGACACCCTACAATAGTGAAGGGGGTGACACCCCAACACTAGTGTGGTGACACCAAAAACCGTGAAGGTGGGGACACCATACATAGTTGGTGACACCACTACCTAGGAAGGTGGGGCACCACTACATAGTTGGTACACCCTACACTAGGCGGGGACCCACTAATAGTGCGGGAAAAACACACAGTGGGTGACACCACTACATATGTGGTGACACCACTAAATGAAGGTGGTGCCCACACACTAGGTGGTGACACACTAACTAGTTGATGTGGTGCACCCCAAAAACCCATGAGTGGTGTGGCACCACTCACTAGGAATGTGGTGACCCATACATATGATGTGGTGACACCCCTACCTGGGATGTGGTGACGCCACTCACTAGTGGGGTGACCCCCACTAGGAGTGTGGGACACCACTAATAGTGTGGTGACATACTCACAAGTGTGGTGACACCACTACAAGTGTGGTGACACCCCTACAAAATTTTGGGGACACCACTCACAAGTGTGGTGACACCACTAACAAGTGGGTGCACACTAACAAGTGTGGTGACACCACTAAAAAGTGTGGTGACACACTCATAGGAATTTGGTGACATCCTACAAATGAATGTGGTACACCAATCACAGTGAATGTTGACACCATAATAGTGAGTGTGGTGACACCACTACACTATGAAAAGTGGTGACACCCTACTTTGTGGTTGGTGCACCATACACTAGGGGTGTGGGACACCACTACACTAGTGAGTGGGTGACACCAAACCCAGTGAATGTGGTGAACCACTACATAGTGGTGTGGGCACCCCTACACTAGGTGGGGCACCACTACACATGAATGTGGTGACATCCTCAAAGGGAAAGGGGTGACACCCCTACATAGGAAAGTGGGCACCCTACCTAGTGATGTGGTGACACCACTACCTAGTGTGGTGACACCCCTACCCAGTGGTGTGGTACCCACTAACTAGTGAATGTGGGGACATCATACACTAGTGAATGTGGTGACACCACTACATGTAATGTGGGGGACACCACAACTAGGAATGTGGTGAAAACCACTGCACTAGTGAGTGGGTGACACCACACACTAGTGAGTGTGGTGACACCACACAAGTGATGTGGTGACATCAACACTAGTGGAAGTGGTGACATACTCACTAGGAAGTGGGAAAACCCCAAAAAAAGGAGTGTGGTGACACCATCAATAGTGAGTGTGGGGAACCCCTACATAGTGAGTGTGGTAAACCACTACCTAGTGAATGTGGGGACATACTACACAGTGAAAAGTGGTGACACCACTAATAGTGAGTGTGGCGGGCACCCCCTTATATATATATATATATATAAATAATATATATTTATATATATATATTTTAAAATATAATATTTTATTATATAAGCCATTGAAAAGCTACGGGGCCCCTGTAGGTTACTGGTCATGCTAGGTTTCTGGGCCCTGTGTCTATGGCCCATGCTGGTCTCTGGCCTTGCTAGGTCTACGGCCCATGCTGGGTTCTGGCTATGCTTGGGGCTCTGGCCCCTGCAGGTCTCTGGCCCATGCTAGGGCTACTGGGCCCATGCTAGGTTACTGGCCCATGTAGGGATGGCCCATGCTAGGTCTACTGGCCCCTTAGGTTACGGGGCCCCTGCTAGGGCTACTGGGCCCCTGCTAGGTTCTGGCCCATGCTGGGCTCGGGCCCCTGCTAGGGTTTCTGGCCTATGCTAGGTCTACTGGCCTATGCTAGGTAAAACTGAGATCAGTTGCAGTACCACTGTACTGGACATGGTTTCTGATAGTCTTGACTAGACTCACCGTGCTGGTGGAGTTGGCCAAAAGGCGACCATGACTCGACTCGTACAGCTCCAAGATGAAGGTCTGGGGAAGACCACCGTCAAAGCCTGCCATACAGACGACGTTCACTGCAGCCATGGACACGTGCACGGTGCAGTTGTGCACGGGGTCAGGGCGATCTGATGGAGATGGGCACGGTGTCAGGGTGATCTGATAGGGATAGGCAATGTGCCAGGGAGATCTGATGGAATTGGCCTACATATAGATGCTGGTTACCCGTATAAATAGTTTATACAGGTCACATTAGGAAGCTTCAATGCCTGTGATTTGATACCGACGAAGAGCTTTCCTGAGAAGGTGCTGGAGCTCTCATCCCCTTCGTTAGGTCAGATCTAATTATACAGGTATTGTATAACCATTACGCATTTTAGCACTTCTGATCTATTGTTTTTGCTATTCCTTGATAATGCGAGAAATAACGAAAGCATGAATCAATGTTTACATTTTAGTAGACTAAGCAAGAATTTTAATGTTTTAGTATATGTAATTATCATAAAACAAAGGAACATAGTTTTTTTTCACGAGACTTAATATCTTACGCTCGTTTGCAAGACTTAGGAGGAAGCTCTCACCTGCAGGAAAGACGTGGAAGACACAAGGGCGGCGCTGCACACCCACTGAGTTGAGTCCCCAGCAGAGAAGCGTTCCATAGTCGAGGTCAGTGTTGGGGGCGTAGGTGACCGTGGAGCGCCACCCTCCTGCTACTATGTGCTCCTGTTGAGGAGGAAATCTGGGTTACTAGCTTCTCGTTGAGGGGAAGTCTCAGTTACTAGCATCTAGTTGAGGGGAAGTCTCCGTTACTAGCGTCTCGTTGAGGGGAAGTCTCGGTTACTAGCGTCTCGTTGAGGGGAAGTCTCCGTTACTAGCGTCTCGTTGAGGGGAAGTCTCCGTTACTAGCGTCTCGTTGAGGGGAAGTCTCCGTTACTAGCGTCTCGTTGAGGGGAAGTCTCCGTTACTAGCGTCTCGTTGAGGGGAAGTCTCGGTTACTAGCATCTAGTTGAGGGAAGTCTCCGTTACTAGCGTCTCGTTGAGGGGGAAATCTCCGTTACTAGCGTCTCGTTGAGGGGAAGTCTCGGTTACTAGCATCTAGTTGAGGGGAAGTCTCCGTTACTAGCGTCTCGTTGAGGGGAAGTCTCCGTTACTAGCGTCTCGTTGAGGGGGAAATCTCCGTTACTAGCGTCTCGTTGAGGGGAAGTCTCCGTTACTAGCGTCTCGTTGAGGGGAAGTCTCCGTTACTAGCGTCTCGTTGAGGGGAAGTCTCGGTTACTAGCATCTAGTTGAGGGGAAGTCTCCGTTACTAGCGTCTCGTTGAGGGAAAGTCTCCGTTACTAGCGTCTCGTTGAGGGAAAGTCTCCGTTACTAGCGTCTCGTTGAGGGAAAGTCTCCGTTACTAGCGTCTCGTTGAGGGGAAGTCTCGGTTTTCTAGCGTCTCGTTGAGGGAAGTCTCGGTTACTAGCGTCTCGTTGAGGGGAAGTCTCGGTTACTAGCATCTAGTTGAGGGGAAGTCTCCGTTACTAGCGTCTCGTTGAGGGGAAGTCTCGGTTACTAGCATCTCGTTGAGGGGAAGTCTCCGTTACTAGCGTCTCGTTGAGGGGAAGTCTCGGTTACTAGCATCTCGTTGAGGGGAAGTCTCCGTTACTAGCGTCTCGTTGAGGGGAAGTCTCGGTTACTAGCGTCTCGTTGAGGGGAAGTCTCGGTTACTAGCGTCTCGTTGAGGGGAAGTCTCGGTTACTAGCGTCTCGTTGAGGGGAAGTCTCGGTTACTAGCGCTTTGTTGAGGGGAAGTCTCGGTTACTAGCGCTTTGTTGAGGGGAATGTTTTGTCAGTGAACTAAGATAAGAAAACAGATCTTAGCTTCTAAAATAAATGCAGGATCTCTGAGCTTTACCCCTGGAGCGAGAGAGAGAGAGAGAGAGAGAGAGAAAGAGAGAGAGAGTCAACATTCCATCATAAACCTGCAATGTAGTTGGGAAAAGAAAGAAGATTAATAAAAACATTGTAAACTCTTGCTTGCAAACATAAGCTGTACATCATCCTTGGGGGAGGGGGGCATGCGGGGGGGAGTGTACTGATGTCAACAAAGATGGTCTTGATTAAAGGACAAAAAGGCACAATACCCATGACTGGAACAATATATAAATAACCCGCACATACAGGAAAAACTTATATAACTAGTTAACGAGGGATTGATTACGTTATTTCCTCTTCTTTCACCGTTCTTCTATGAGTTTGACTGAAGAAGCCACTGGCTGGCATCCTCCTATGTACGGGTTATTTGTGAATGGCCAGGATTCTAGAAATTGGAACTACTCTCTTTCCCTGTATCAAACTTGATTTCTGCTATCCTCCCCAGAAACTGTGTGGCCCTCATGGATTTATCATTTCTTCGAAAATATAAGTGATAATGTAACATATACTAGCGGTATCTGAAGCATTTATTTCTAGTCCTGAGAAGCAAAATCCCTCTCAAGTCATGGTGTTTTCATAACACGTGTGTATGTGTGTGTGTGTGTGTGTGTGACTGTGTGTGTGTGACTGTGTGTGGGTGTGTGTGTGGGTGTGTGTCTGTGTGTGTCTGTGTCTGTGTCTGTGTGTGTCTGCGTCTGTGTGTGTCTGTGTGTCTGTGTGTGTCTGTGTGTGTCTGTGTGTGTCTGTGTACTCACCTATTTGTACTCACCTATTTGTGGTTGCAGGGGTCGAGTCATAGCTCCTGGCCCCGCCTCTTCACTGATTGCTACTAGGTCCTCTCTCTCCCTGCCACATGAGCTTTATCATACCTCGCCTTAAAACTATGTATGGTTCCCGCCTCCACTACTTCACTTTCTAGACTATTCCATGACTTGACTACTCTATGACTGAAGAAATACTTCCTAACATCCCTTCGATTCATCTGAGTCTTCAACTTCCAATTGTGACCTCTTGTGTCTGTGTCCCTTCTCTGGAACATCCCGTCTTTGTCCACCTTGTCTATTCCGCGCAGTATTTTATATGTCGTTATCATGTCTCCACTGACCCTCCTGTCCTCCAGTGTCGTCAGGCCGATTTCCCTCAACCTTTCTTCGTAGGACAATCCCCGTAGCTCTGGGACTAGTCTTGTTGCAAACCTTTGCACTTTCTCTAATTTCTTGACGTGCTTGACTAGGTGTGGATTTCAAACTGGTGCTGCATACTCCAGTATGGGCCTGACGTAAATGGTATACAGAGTCTTGAACGAATCCTTACTGAGGTATCGAACGCTATCCGTAGGTTGCCAGGCGCCCGTATGCTGCAGCAGTTATCTGATTGATGTGCGCCTCAGGAGATATACTCGGTGTTATGCTCACCCCCAGATCTTTTTCCTTGAGTGAGGTTTGCAGTCTTTGACCATCTAAACTATATTGTGTCTGCGGTCTTCTTTGCCCTTCCCCAATCTTCATGACTTTGCATTTGACAGGGTTAAATTCAAGGAGCCAGTTGCTGGACCAGGCTTGTAGCCTGTCCAGGTCTCTTTGCAGTCCTGCCTGATCCTCATCCGATTTGATTCTTCTCATTAACTTCGCATCATCTGCGAACAAGGACACTTCTGAGTCTATCCCTTCCGTTATGTCGTTCACATATACCAAGAACAGCACAGGTCCTAGGACTGACCCCTGTGGAACCCCTGTGTCTGTGTGTGTGTGTCTGTGTGTGTGTGTGTGTGTGTATGTGTGTGTGTGTCTGTGTGTGTGTCTGTGTGTGTGTCAGTGTGTCTGTGTGTCTGTGTGTGTGTCTGTGTGTGTGTCTGTGTGTGTGTCTGTGTGTGTGTCTGTGTGTGTGTGTGTCTGTGTGTGTGTGTCTGTCTGTGTGTGTATGTGTGTGTCTGTGTGTGTGTGTCTGTGTGTGTCTGTGTCTGTGTCTGTGTGTGTCTGTGTCTGTGTCTGTGTGTGTCTGTGTCTGTGTGTGTCTGTGTGTGTCTGTGTGTGTCTGTGTGTGTGTCTGTGTGTCTGTGTTAGTTACCATTTTGTCCTAGGCACATGTCGATTCGACACTAGGCCTGTTGTATATGAGTGTGTACTCACCTAGTTTTTCACCTAGTTGAGTTGCAGGGGTCGAGTCCAAGCTCCTGGCCCCGCCTCTTCACTGGTGATGTGTGTGTGTGTGTGTGGTTAGTTAGTTACCATTTTGTCCTAGGCACATGTCGATTAGACACTAGGCCTGTTGAACGTGTGTGTGAGAGTGTGTGTGAGAGTGTGTGTGTGTGTGTGTATGGTGAGAGTGGCATGTGTGTGTCTGCGTGTGTACTCACCTATTTGTGGTTGCAGGGGTCGACTCTTAGCTCCTGGCCCCGCCAGGAGTCTGGAGTCTGTGGGTCTGTGTGTGTGTGTGTCTGTGTGTGTGTGTCTGTGTGTCTGTGTGTGTGTGTGTCTGTGTGTGTGTCTCTGTGTGTGTCTGTGTGTGTGTGGTGTGTCTGTGTGCGTGTCTGTGTGTGTGTGTGTCTGTGTGTGTGTCTATGTGTGTGTCTGTGTATTGTCTGTGTGTGTGTCTGTGTGTGTGTGTGTGTGTGTCTGTGTGTGTGTGTGTGTGTGTGTGTGTGTGTGTCTGTGTCTGTGTGTGTGTGTGTGTGTGTGTGTGTGTGTGTGTGTGTGCGCTCGAGTGTGCTTGTGTACACACGGCAGCCATAATCACGAGGTAACATCCTCTCCAGTTACGCACTTTATTGGTGTATTTGCTTTTGTTCTGTTAGTATAGGTAAACCTAATCTAACCTAACCTAACCTATCCTAACCTAACCTAACCTAACCTAACCTAACCTAACCTAACCTAACCTAACCTAACCTAACCTAACTTAAAGAAAACCTAACGTAAACTAAGTTAATCTAAAGAATTCCGATGTAAAAAGTAGTGAGTCCCAGAGTAGCCTAATTTACACTTATATAGCCCAAAGTAGCGTATACAAAAAATATGCAAAGCAACATAACGTAACCTTAGAAATTTTTAAGTTGACGTATCTGTACGTCAAGGAGTTGACATACCTGGGGAACATCTAGAAGGTTATGTAAACCATACCACGAGCGGGGATTGAACTCGCGGTGAGTGAGTCGTAAAGCTCCAGAACGTAGTATAGTTTGTTTGCAATTGTGTCATTACGATTTCGTGAGTCAAGTTTATGTACCTCGGTGGGGGGGGGATACCAAGAAGTAGACGTACCTGGGGAACGTCAACGCTCTCTCCGCTGTTATTAAACGTCCATCGGAAGTGGCTGGGTGTCGGGTAAGCATCCAGGTCACAGGTGAGACTAATCTGTTCATATTTGGATGCTCCCAGGTATACCATCTGCTTGTGGCGACACACAGGCGCGTCTGCTGGGGACGGAGATCTGTGTTATTATGGTGAAGCAATAAACTCGCGTGGGTCAGAAGAATGAGTCATGCAGATTCGATTCTCTGGTAATCGTGAGGGTATTCTTAGTCCACAGAAGTTGTACTTAGAAGAGAGAATGATGGGTTGTCAGGGACTGGAATAATAAGCGAGTGGGCCTAAAGTAATGAGTGACAGGCTCAGAATGATGCATAATTTCTGTGGGCTCAGCGTCTATCAGGACATAAGTTAACCAGTCTTTTTAAATCTGTCGAAATAAGTAGGGAGAAATCCCAAACTTATTTCAATAAGACCAGAAGTCAATATGTTTGACAAAGTGGCTTGGAAAGACCAATTTTCGAGGTGTTCAGTGTGGAAGGATTTACCCAGCAGTGCGTGGATATTTCTGAAGTCTCAAGTCTCCAGAGGCGTTCAGTAGGCAGTCACTGAGCGAACTGCAAGCTGAAGGCAATGTGAATCAAAATATTTTAGTAGGAAAGTAGTGAAGAGTAATGCTGCATATATATATATATATATATAAAATATATATATATAATATATATATATATATATATATATATATATAACAACCACTATGAAAGAGTGAAATTCCAAGCGCTTTCGTGATTTCTTACGATAATGTGAAAAATCACGAAAGGGCTTGGAAATTCCCTATTTTTTCACAGTGGTTTTTTCTGCATGTGTGTGTGTGTGTGTGTGTGTGTGTGTGTGTGTGTGTGTGTGGTGTGTGTGTGTGTGTGTGTGTGTGTGTGTGTGTGTGTGTGTGTGTGTAAAAGAGAGAGAGAGAGAGAGAGAGAGAGCGAATCTCCCTTTAATGATTTTTGATGGGTTATATGAAACAAAATACTTGGGCCTTGCTCCATAAACAAACTACTTTACATATATTTTCTTTATGGATGAATCTCAAAGAATTTCGAAACTGAAGGAGGGCGCTGCGAGGAATTTGCTTCTGGGTCTCAAAATATTCCACAATTCTCAACTGAGTGCGCACGACCCCAGCGAATTTAGAGCATCTTATTGTGAATATGCAGTAACAGTTCTCAGTCCTCACAAAGAGGAAATCCTTCCCCCCTCCCTCTCTTTTATATTAATAATTATAGCCGGAACTCTGTAGAGTGTACAATTCCAGGTTATAGACGAGGTCAGTGGCTGACATGACGCTCACAGTCATGGAAGGGATAGTATCGACGGTCCAGGCTGTAGCCTGGAACTGTTAGTTACCTACGGTTAGGTCTAGACCTAAGATTGACCTTACGTTAATAATAATAATAATAATAATAATAATAATAATAATAGTATTATTATTATTATTATTATTATTATTATTATTATTATTATTATTATTACTATTATTATTATTATTGTCGTTGTATGCATGGGGATTAGCACTAAACTCGTAGGGTCAGATGCAGCTCCCGGGAAATGTGAGGCAATTAAGCTCGATCCGAGGAACGGGAGTATAGACCCAATTCCTCGGATCAAGAAGGCTTTCAGAACGCTGAGTTACTCCCGATTCAGTCATTAGTGAATGTGTCTCACCGCCGCTGGTTCTTCAATCTTACCCTCTTGATGGGAAATATAATTGTTCCTTAACCCATCACAATACATCTCTCTTCTTAACCCCCCATCACTCCTCCTTCCTACCCATCACTCTTCCTTCCTACCCCCATCACTCTTCCTTTCTACCCACTCAGTCCTTCCTACCTCATCACTCCTTCCTAGATAAAAAAGAAAAGAAAAAGACAATGAGGATAGAAAGGGATAGCAAGGGATAGGAAAGGACAGCATGATATAGGAAAATGATAGCATGGGATAGGAAGGAATAGGATAGAATGGGATAGCAGAGGATAGGAAGGAATAAGATAGAAAGGGATATCAAGGGATAGGAAGGAATAGGATAGTAAGAGATAGGAAAGAATAGGATAAAAAGTGATAGGAAGGAATGGGACAGCAAGCGATAAGAAGGAATGGGATAGCAAGGGATAGGAAGGGATGGGATAGCAAAGGTTAGGAAGGAATGGGATAGCAAGGGACAGGAAGGGATAGCAATCCCTGATAACTCATGAGGGAGAGTCATCAGGATAACTGACGTCCTCTCTCCCGGTGTATCTTGGTAACTCACTTTCAGAACATCGACGCTTCCTGGCTTTATTCTAAACTTCTACGTTTGGTGAGAATTATCAGCCGTGTGTGTGTGGTTGCAGGGGTCGATTTATAGCTCCTGGTCCCACCTCTTCACTAGTCGCTACTAGGTTCACTCTCTCCCTGCTACATGAGCTATATCATACCTCTTCTTAAAGCTGTGTATGGATCCTGCATAGACTGCTCCACTTCTTGAGAACTCTCTGACTGAAGAAGTACTTCCTAACATCCCTGTGTCTCATCCTCTACATCTTTTTCTCATTTTCATTCTTCTCTGCTCTCTCTTATTCTTCCCTTCGTCACGCTTCCTCCTCTTCCTCGTACATTTTCTCATTTTCCTATTGTTTAATTTGTAATTAAAATGATCGCCCATCAGTTTGACAGTGACTGGGGGTCATAATGACAGTGACTGGTGATACTGACAGTGACTGGTGATACTGACAGTGACTGGTGATACTGACAGTGACTGGTGATACTGACAGTGACTGGTGGTCATACTGACAGTGACTGGGGGTCATACTGACAGTGACTGGTGATACTGACAGTGACTGGTGGTCATACTGACAGTGACTGGGGGTCATACTGACAGTGACTGGGGGTCATACTGACAGTGACTGGTGGTCATACTGACAGTGACTGGTGATACTGACAGTGACTGGGGGTCATACTGACAGTGACTGGGGGTCATACTGACAGTGACTGGTGGTCATACTGACAGTGACTGGTGGTCATGCTGACAGTGACTGGGGGTCATACTGACAGTGACTGGGGGTCAGACTGACAGAGACTGGGGGTCAGACTGACAGTGACTGGGGGTCCAGACTGACAGGACTGGGGGTCAGACTGACAGTGACTGGGGGTCAGACTGACAGTGACTGGGGGTCAGACTGACAGAGACTGGGGGTCAGACTGACAGTGACTGGGGGTCAGACTGACAGAGACTGGGGGTCAGACTGAGTGACTGGGGGTCAGACTGACAGTGACTGGGGGTCAGACTGACAGTGACTGGGGGTCAGACTGACAGTGACTGGGGGTCAGACTGACAGTGACTGGGGGTCAGACTGACAGTGACTGGAGGTCAGACTGACAGTGACTGGGGGTCAGACTGGAGGTCAGTGGCCTATCGTATTTATTCTACCCTAAAGATTTACCGAACTTGTCTAAGCACTGTTGACAAAACAATTTCTCTCTCTCTCTCTCTCTCTCTCTCTCTTGACAGGAAAAGCAATAGTCCATTAACCTCTTCCCTTGCCCATCCCATCCCCCTTCCCTTTTCCACCTCCTTCCCCTTCCTTTTCAACCACTGTACCTAAAATACAGAAATATTTATAACTAATAAAGAAATCGAACTTGAGAATAAAGAGTAAGAGTAATAACCAGATATTAAATTCTGCCAGTGATCGTCTTTTTTTCTGGTTCAATAAAGTCCACAATAAAGTACCCAGAGAGGCCGTTGTCATGTGACAACGGAAGGCTGTTAAATGTTTTGCACTCTGGCAGGATTACCGGTGTATTCCTTGTGTCTCATGAAGATGTAAGATGAGAAGTGGGTAAAATATATATATATATATATATATATATATATATATATATATATATATATATTATATATATATATATATAATATATATATATATATATATATATGCAGTAATTATTCCTAATAAATGTTATTACTGTATCTTGACTCTTGTCCAGCTTTCGCTGCATAATACATTGTCTCTCCTTCCATCCTCCAGGTCTTCTCTTCCCTCCTCCTCTACTCTCCTCCCCCCCCCCTCATCTCGCAGTAGGACATCTTTAAGACAGGTTTGCACCAAGGATCCAACACCTTTTTAACATAATCCAGCGCCTTATACGTTTTTTTCTTTTTACGCGCGCATCTTAGTGTCCACATTGCCACACTCTTTGTCACTGCTGTCTTCTTTATTGCTAGTCTTGCTACTTCTTTTACGACTACTACTACTAGTAGTATTAGTACTAGTACTACTGCTGATACTCATTATTATTACTGCTACTACTAGTACTACTACTAATGTTGTTGTTGTTGTTGTTGTTGTTGTTGCTGTTGCTGTTGCTGTTGCTGTTGCTGTTGCTGTTGCTGTTTCTGTTTCTGTTGCTACTGCTGCTGCTGCTGCTGCTGCTGCTGCTGCTGCTGCTGCTTACATCAAAGGTTTAAAATGTCGACAGGTAAATGAATAAGACACCTGTACAACACCTGGTTTTATCCTTCTTACTCAGAGGCAAGAGACAACATTCTTACAGAGGAGCTAGTAAAGTGGAAGCAGTGAAGCGATACAGCAGCAACAGTGGCTACAGCAGCAACAGTTGCTACAGCAGCAACAGTGGCTACAGCAGCAACAGTGGCTACAGCAGCAACAGTGGTTACAGCAGCAACAGTGGCTACAGCAGCAACAGTGGCTACAGCAGCGCAGGCAACGCACACCAGTGGCAACAGGTCAGGTCTGACGTGTGCTGAACCAGTAGATGTTGTGGTTAATCATGTATGTGAACGTTCTTACAAGGGCACTTTGTTATGAGGAGAACGCCAAGATATTCTAGGTACCTCTGAATGCTACTGTAGAGAGTTGTGACAGCATCCTCTCCTTAGTTTAAAGATTTACTGATACGGGAAATATTTCTCTCGTCCTGCATATACCTGACATCTTACCTTGAGACGTCATGGTTATAATTATAATCTTAATTATTAAAGGGGTGGACCGGTAAGCCAGCGGAAGGCCTCGGTCAGATAACCAAAAGCTCCGGGTGCGGGTTATCATGTGACTAAGACCCGCGTCAGGAAACACTTGTCCTGTTTCCTGACAAACCTTACCTACCCTAA